ATTAAGATGTTAACAAAGTTGAAGGACATGTACCAATAAAATTGTACAAGTTAACATATATGAAATACCCTGAAATATTGGTCACTACACAAGCTTCTTCAATTGTAAACTGTCTTTTTTTCTTCATGTTCGGTACACCATTTGGGTTGATCTTGAGGTCTCAAGCTTTCAAAATCTATAAGGTGTTTTCAAACTATTCTGTTCAGTATGACCCCATTTTCTTCCTATGTAGCATCCAATAGGTTCTGGAGAAAATTTAACAAGCACTGAAATTTCCACTCCTGGTTTAAAGAACAACTGGACTGTCTCCAAATACACAAAAGTAGTACTCAAAGCACGTATCTGTGAAAAAGGACAATTTTCAGATTAAATTGAAATAAACCATACTTGACATATTCTAAGATTTTTTAAATAAATATCATGTTTATGATAATGCTACATTTATATTTTCCAATTTAAGAAAATGTCATCAAATGACATGGGTAAGATTATTCACAAATTCTTTTGGCTATCTTTGAAAAAAAAACAAGAGCTTCTTAATTTCTTTAAGTAAAGTAACAGAATAGGGAAAAATGCATGTGGCAAATTGACAGACAGACAAGGCAATTCCTATACTATAGTATAACATATCTTTACCATTTTCTCAGCAGTGGCAAGTAATTGGTCATGCTCTTGCTGCATCTGCATTGTCCCTCCTCTTATTATTTCTGGATTCTGTTAACAAAACTAAAAACTGCAAACTCTAGAAGTAATTCTAAAAACTGCAAACTATAAGAATGAAAAAAAATATTCTACAAAGTACAATTTCCCAGATATTTATAATATCAGTTGTTTTAAACACAAACCTTCCTTTATTTGAATAGCTCCACAGTATTTGAAAATCCCATAAATGTAAAGAAAATTCCCATATAAAGCCAAAAATCATAACTGTAGCTATCTTCATAACATTTCATAAATATCTGAAAAATATTGTGTTTCATGATATTCTTTATAATCATGCATCGGCCATCCCACATATGAGACAATTATGGGGATTTAATTGACAGTGAAGACACACCTATCCAATTCTAAATTTACCCTATCAGTAAACAGTCTTAGAAAACCCCTGGACCTATTCAACTTTTCCCTCCCTCTTCATCACCCCACAAAGGCTACTTATGCTATTTGTAATTCAGCAATATCAGTATGTATTTTGCAATATTGTTGAATTTATACAAGTACATGTACCAACCTTAAAATTTCTCTTGACATGTTTGCATATATATTCAGTTTATTTATTTATTTTTTTTAATACAAATAAATAACTTTGGTAACTAAATAAAGCCTTTTTTATAATATACTAAATCTAGTATTATAAACCTGATTTTGTCTTGTAAAAAATCTTCTCTCGTATATAATCAAGTCTCCATCAACATTGTTTTATTTATTTATTTTTTAAATACCAATAAGTTTTTTATAATATACACTTTCCTGTTTCACTTTCAAATTCAAACGTTGTTGATTCGGTATCATCATCACTACATCCGTCTCGTCACCAAATGAATGTTCGCTGACAGAATCATATTCATCAAAATCAGAGCCAGAATCTGAAGACTCGTTGACAATTCATGCACCTGAATCTTTTTCTGAGGACATACAAAACGTCGCAGGAAGCCATAATGTTTACACGTGGTTACGGAACCGTACATCGATCCCGATGGATTTCATAATATTTTATGTATTTTTTATAAGGCCACTAGCATATATGTAACAAATTAAATTCACAGGAAGGACAATTTTCTTAAAACCAAACATAATGTATGCCTAAAACGATTAAATGACAGACATCTCTTCATTAACATAATCATTATCTACCTTCTCTACAGAAGAGTGCAACAGGGGAGATAATTCTTACAAAATCTAAAATAACTGTAAAATACTTTTTTTTCACGTGAAAAGCAGGGGAAAATTAATTAATAGCTTGTATAAAATTCAAAATAATTTTTATTGTTTATATAAATATATTGCACAAAATTCATTTAAATTACTGTAAAAGTTAAACTTATAAAATCACCATTTTTTCTATCATTTGAATTTGAGATGATTTTATTACGATGTAACTTTTATGTCCTTGAGAGTCCAAAGGTGGATTTTATATATTTTTGAGATGATATCTTAAAGATTTTTAAATGAACAAAATTTTGAAAAAAGAAGCGTCACTTTCTAAGAAATATATCCCTGAATATTGACAAAAAATGAATCATTATCATTTCTTGGCACCATGCCTTGATATTTGTGCTCTTGGGGCAGCCTTTTATACAGGGGTATTACAAAAAATTTGATTCCAACTTAAACTTACGACTCAATTCTGTGAGAAAACATTGCCCTTTTCTTTATATATTGTTTTTTCTTTTTTACTTTTAAATATAGAAATGGTCGTTTTTTTCACCAACTTTTTTGCATTTTCCCTTGAATATTGACCAAAATGAATTATTGGCTGTTAATAAAAATAGAAACAATCGATGCAAAAATAAACAACATATTTCTGACTCTCAATGGGTGTCCTTTAAGTTAATGATAAAAATTAGTTTGTTCTTGAGACTGCCTACCAGAGCATTTTTCTATATATCTGCATGGTTTTCTCGTAGACACGCTCTTAATACCATCAATTTTCATTTTCTATGTCATCCGGTTAAGGGTTGGGGAAAGGGTGTATGAAATATGTGGAGATAACGAACAGTACCGGTATTCAAGATCCATAATGTCCATAAAACATTTTAAAAAGTAAAGGTGCTAATCCAACATGGACCTCCGGGATCAGGTGGCATGGAGGAGTAAGTATCCCCTGCCGACCGGTCACACCCGCCGTGTGCTACCTGTCATGATTGGGAAATAATGAAAAAATCCGAAATACTAGTATAGAGAAAATGAAAAGTAATTAAGCTTAGAAGTCAATCGATAAAATCAGAAGCAGAGAAAAGACGGAGCTCTAAAAAGATAAGAGGTCATATCAGGTACGCTGGAGAAGTAAGCATCCCCTGACAAATAGTCACCTCTATCTGCCATGTGGTCCTTATCATGATCAGGCAAAAGGAAATATCCGTGACAATTCAGTGTATTGGCCAAATACTGTAAACAAGGCAAATACCGCCCCGTTTCATTTTCGCTCTACTGTCATTTGGGCGAATTTAAAACAGGGTGAGCTCAAAGTATACAGTATAATTTCTTAAATAAATCTATGACAGGGCGATTTTAAAACTGGGCAAAATTGTCTGCAAGTGTGAAAGGGCTAAAATAACACGGGGCGAAGATGTATAAATTACATGGTTACTGGCTTGAAATATAAGCGATATTTGGGCGAGGGTAAGAACACGTGACAGAGGGCGAGGCTTTCCCAAATATCGATTATATTTCAAGACAGTTATCATGTATTTTGTTTATCCTGCAACAAAATTTAACATTTGAACGTCCAAAACTAGCTATTTTTGACAGATTTAGGCACGTCTATGTAGTATAGACCATATGACGCCATGGCGTAAACATTGCAATATACGTGACGTCACAATGCTTTTAGAACGTCGGAATACATGCACAAGGCTTTATTAGGGCAGTGACCGGATAAAGCTTTGGTTTATTAGGTTACCTTTATTCGTTCAATGTAAGGGTTAGTTGCAAGATAAAACCCTGTATACAGTCATTACACTTAATATGAAAAAACGTCAGCTTCCATTATATTAATTCATAGCAATTTTCCAGTTTGACGGAAGACTTGGTCTAAAAAGATGTTGTCAGTAAGAAACTCAAGCCTCTGTTTAATATAAACTGCAGAGAACCTGTGTGCACAGGAATGTTTGTAACAATATTATTTTGCAAATGGTCCATTACACATTAACGAGTCCTATTTTTATCGAGAGAAAAAAACTTTAAATGATGTTAGAAAGTCTAGGTTTTAATCAATCATGTGGAATGGTTACATATGGAAGTGAAAAGTCGTAAGTTTTGATGTTATTGATTTTTTGTAAGATTCTGTAATTTCAAAACTTCGAAAAATTATTCATTTATCAAAATGGTATTACTAACTGGCACATTATGTGTTTCATTTTAGAGGTTCAGGTATTTTTTTTACCACGCTCCGACCTAAACAAAAATACTAAAGTTAACTATATAATTTTATATTAAGTAAACTATAAAGTATTTTTTAAATGGGAATAGTACACTGTTTTAACCTTTTGTGTCTGTCTATGAGTCTTACCCTTACAATTTTTTGTTGCAGTTTTCTCAGTAAATATTCATCGCAGATAATCAGAGTTTGAGCTCCCTCTTTGTCTAAGCATATCATGTCATTCCATTTGGTGAGAAAACAGTCCCCAAATCATAAACAGAAAACAGTCTTAAGTCAAAATTTTGAATTTTATATCTTAATTCTGATTACGAATTGGCTAAAAAAAAGCATTGAAAATGTGGAGTAAACTACCATTCAAAGATATTATGAAAAGTTCATGTAGTATCAAAATTCCATTGGTATTGATTTGAATTTTTGAATCAGGTCTGTTCTTGGTTTATAGTCTTGGGGTCTGATGTCAATTTCATGGTTACTCATGCATATTTCTGAATTTACGTCGCAGTTTTCTTAGCAACACACACACACACACACACACACACACACACACACACACACACACACACACACATATATATATATATATATATATATATATATATATATATATATATATATATATATATATATATATATATATATATATATATATATATATATAGGATATATATATATATATATATATATATAGGATTCATGAGTAGATAAATGAACATCAGAGCAGAGGGTATTGCTAGTGAGCATCCGTTCACAGATTTCTTGTTTTTTTAATTATTTTGCTGACACGCCCTTCTGAAAAATTTCAGAAAAATTGAAATCAAAACTAATTGTCAGTTTGCATATGTATGGACATACACACAGAGACCGTTCCTTAAACAGAAAAACGTTCTTTTTATTTTAGTGGATATACAAAATTACTGCACAGCCCATCCTAAGGCTTTACTTCCAAAAAAAGACAATTGTGGTCAGTACTCTAACTGTTCTGATTCGGGATTTGATGGGAATCACACGATGGAATGTCTTTATCCAAATCTATTTTCTTTAACATCTTTGTCCTGTCAGTGGTTTGAGAATGTGACTTGTGATGGACGCATGGAACCTCAAGCACCATGTAAGGGATGAAATAAGCACATTATTATTTTAAGAATATTAATATGAAGACCACTTCATGCTCTCCTACGACATCTGTCTTTCAAAGTTTTTTTTAAATTGTATAAGGTGAGTACCAGCAGAATCTTTGTGCTCCAACGAATAAGAGCTGTATTCCTTGCAAGAAGAGGCTTCCATCTTGTGTGACATTGCCTGATGGGAAAAACCCTATAAATTGGTTGTTATGGAAACTTGATTATGCCATCTGCTATAAAAACAGGACCATTGATATAAGGAAATGTCCCGCTAGGTTCTTCGATCCAGTTCAAAGAAAATGTTTAGAGAAAGCAAGCCCAAGTAAGTTTTGCCTTAAAATATGTTTGTTTCAGATTTCAGGCTTTAAAAAGGTAGGTAGGTAGACAATTTATTTTTTAAGGTCAGACAGAATACCTTATAGTGATTCTACTGTTTTTTTTATCCCCCCTTTTCTTCTCGGAACGATTTCTCAGGGATAGCTGGACGACTTTACGTGAAAAATTAAGGGATTGTAGAGAATAAATATACCCCGAGATGTTTTTCTTATTCATTTTTCATTTTCGGTTGTCAGATATGTCCGATTTTTAAAAAAAAATATTTTGTTCCAGTCATATTTCAGAAACGGTAAGAGATTAATACACCAAACTTATATGAGTAATAGATTTTAAAGAGTAGGCGAGCTCAATTGGGTTAAGATCGTCCGATGTCACTTCCGGACGTAACAAGAATTGATCATAAAAAGCGAAAATTTCAACTTTTCTTTTTTTGCGTTACATTATTGCATCTTATTTGTAATTTTAAAATACGGCAGTTCCACCAGAAACAAAAACGACAACTTCCGGTAAAAAGATAAAAGCTACATATTTTTTTGTATTTTACTTTCCCATAACTATTTTTATATATAAAGTACTTGAAATGATTTTCAGACATGTTATTCAGACAGTAATTGTCTAGAGTTACGTCAAATAGTTTTATAAAATTCATTTCCGGTCGCGTGTTTTCCTGTCCTCGAAATGAGATCATAGTCACATGTAAAACTCGAAAACGGTAAGAGAATAAGACACCAAAATTATATGAGTAATTGAGGAGTAGGCAAAATATGTAAGGTTAAATGCGTCAACCGTCATCCGATCATTACAGGTAGTGGTCAAAGAAATTAATAAAAAATTCAAATTTTCTTTCTGGAACCTTTTTTTATATCTTTTTATTGCATATAATTAGAAGTTTAGAAGTATGTCAGTCCAACCGGAAAAAAGACAACTTCCGGTTATTAGACTTAAAAAAAAAAGCTACATAATTTATTTACCGGCATTTTATTCATGATGGATAAAAAGAGAATTAGTGGGCATATTTGGAGGGTGTTTTCTAACATTAAATATTTCAAATAAATGAAAATATGCACTTGATTGAGAGAAGAAAGAAAAAGATTACGAAAAAATTTATGACATTTTTTCGTGCGTTGAAAGGTATTAGTCTAACCCGTCTATTTATATTCGCAATGCATGTTTATTGATAACTGTGATGATAACTGTTATAATTTTTATGATAAGCATGTCATTTAAGTGTTTATAATGGTATGACAGTACTTTAATATACGATTACAAAACATCTACCAGATGCGTTGCATCAGTAATGATTTAATGTAGGTACGATTCCATGATGATTCCTCCGATATTTTCAAAACTTGCTCTGAAAACAGCTTTATGGGGGACAAATTATTACACTCTTCTCTCTTAATCATTTAAGGAAGATGGTTTTATGACGGTCAAAGAATGTAGAAAGGTAACTGAAACTTTAAGTTCGCGAAGTTGGCGACCATTTTACCCGAATTGCTCTTGCGTGGAACAAAAGCATTAAAGAAGTTAGTTTCACCATAAATAAGGGTCGGTCGGGGAAGCGGAAACAAACATATTAATAATTTTCTAGGCCTTTTATGGTGGCCTGCAAATATTTACCATATCAATACTGAAAACCAAATTACTGGACGATGACTGTAAACACTATAAATGGAAAATGTCTGTTTTATTAATCTGTATTTTAGATAACATTGATGAGATCTGCAAACAGAATCCAAAGGCTATCTTCCGAAAGAATGACAACTGTGCTCAGTATTACAACTGTTCCGTTGACAACTCCAAGTACGGAAAACATCTACAGGAATGTAATTATCCTGATCTGTTCTCAACCATAAGCATGAGATGTGAGAACTTCAAGATAGTGAAATGTGACAATAGAACAGAGCCTCAAGCACCATGTGAGTCAACAGAAGAAGGAAATAAAAAACAATGTTTATAACTTTCATGTCAATGTTTAAGTGTCAAAATGATTGTTGAGATTGCGTGTATATATTTATTTTTAGGTGAGTATGTTCAAAATCAGTGTGTAACCAGCAATATCTCCTGTGTCCCTTGTCCCAAACGATTGCCAAGTTGTCAAGGGTTGACAAATGGAAAAGAGGCCTTTCAAGGAAAGCTATGGCGGGCAGATTACATTGTGTGCGACACCAACCGTACCATGAACATCAATCAGTGTTCTCAAGGAGAGCACTTCAATCCAAGACTAAACACTTGCATGAAAGATGTACCAGAAGGCAATTATACTTTTTGTTTATCATGTTCACTATTCAAATCGTAGTTAGCAACTTTGAAATTGCAGGACCAATTTCTACCAATACTGGAATATTGCATTCATGAACAGAAGGAGTCTAAATTGCAGATTTCATTACCCCACGCAAATGAAGTTTGGGGGGGAGGGGTATATAGGAATCAGCTTGTCGGTCTGTCTGTGCAAACATGCACGGTTTATATCTTTCTTACGAAGGAACATTAGATTCTACTACTTCACACAAAGATTGTTCATAACCTAATGGTGTGTCATGACCTTGACCCAAGGTCATTTGGGGAAGTTCAATGTCACTGGAAGAAAAATTTCATAATTCGTGCCCGGTCCATATCTTTCTTATGGATAAACGTGGTAAGTTCTTATTTCACACAAAGATTGCTTATGACCTGAGGTCGTGTCATGACTTTGAACTAAGGTTATTTATACAAGTTCAAGGTCATTGACAGAAAAAGCTAATAATTCGTGTCTGGTCCAGTTGTATCTTTATCTTTTTATTAGGCTGCATCTTCGTTTCATTCATAAAAATATAATGAGAAATTACATTTGCACTAAAAATGTTTTAGCATTTCTTTCTTCTCTGAGAGCCATAAAATACTCATGATTTGGCACCTCTGAAAATCCAAGCGGGGGTATTTTGGCCCTTTTGGATAGGTCTAGTTTTGTCCTTGTTTCCTTTGAGGCCCGGTTTCTTTATTTGCAGTCCTAACCATTCAATTTTATGCTATATTTAAAACTCATCTTTACATCGTTGAACATTTTAAAGAAATATAATAAGCTTGAACACTTAATCAAAAAAGTGAATTTTAAATCACAGTTTGTGAATTGACCCCAAGCTCATATAAAACCCAGGGTTTTGGTAAGTAAACATAAATCATACTTTTGAAAACCTTTTTTTCTTGGATATTTAGCAGCATACTGTATGCATGATTTCAATGATTTCTTGAATTTATAATTCTTGGTACTTAGTTCGAAATTCTTACTCCATTAGTAGGACTAAAGTGGCTATATACTGAAAATAGTGTGCATCTTTTGATTATTAACATTAACATAAAATTTCTTATCCATACGGTCATCTTTACATTCTGGATCATAATAATGTATAGAAGTCACCGCTTAAAACAATGCAGTGCACAATGGCGAGAAATTGTTCAGGAATTGGACAGAAAAGGGGAAAATAATATTATTTATTACCCTAACTTTAATACTGTTTTTCGATTCATTGCACATCTGAAAGAAATCTACTTTCCTCCGCTGAATTTATGTTTAAAGTATTGTAGCACAACATAAGATATGCATTATACGTCACTGAGAAAACAAGAAGCGAAAATACTAGTATTTCAATTTTCAAACAATATATAACGTTAAGAAGGAAAATGAATTGCGTATTTTAAAATAAGCAAAATATTTTACGTTGAATAACACACTTAGTATATGAATTTCAAATATCATAAACGAATTTTCACTGATAGTAAGTTGCTCAGGAGGCTTTCTGATACCACGGAAGATTTCTTCTGCATCGCGAAAAGCTAGGAGTTTGTCCATATGTAGCGGTTTCGAATCCCACAGTGGGGCGTTAAGACCGGTCCCTCGGACAAGACCGTATCAACCATGGTCCCGTGTCACAGTGGATGTGGACATGAAAACAATCCTCTCTGCTCAATGGCCATAAGTGCCGAATATAGGACAAAAGAATGAATCGTTTAAACGTCCAAATCTGGCCCCTCGATAATTTACAAAAAAAAAAAAAAATAATAAAGATTTTCGACATTTTATTTGCCTCAATCTCTCCATCAAACATTGTAGTCTATTGATTTCAATTTCAATTTTTAATCCCATGCACTGTAATTAAGTATTTATCTGATTAATATAGCAGGGGTACGTTGTTTACATCGATTTCACATAGACTTAAGACCACACCCCCATTTTGCAAGCCATTTTTTATATGAGCGCATGGATGTTTCAAGTTGCCGTAAATACGGTCACTGTAAAGAGATAAACTAGTCATTTACATTCGTGAAAGAAATTGAAACAGTATTGCACTCATATATTATTTTCCAAAAAGGTGCAAAACCACGGATACTTGTCTCTATAGTAAAGGCACCTTGTTTAGAAATTTTAACCTGCCTTTGACCTCATGAATAACAAAGCACTAAACACGTGACTCAAATCTATTCACTTTCGCGCTTTCATCACACCTATGTGACATCGTGTACAGGTGTCAGCGAGCAATCAATGGTCAAATCATTTTCAGATGGCTAATTAAAAATTCTGGGTGAAATTCTTAATTAAGATATGTTAAGATTTTTGAATTGTTATTTCATGCAATTTCAGTCGATTTTGCTTGATTTATTTCGATATATATCACTATACGCCTTTGTCCCTAAATATTCATCGGCGCTACGTTTATTGACTCTTGAAAAATAGAAAAAGTTTTTTTTTTAATTTCAGTTAAAACTTTCATTAATTTCATAGATCGTAATTTTAAAAACACTAATTAATCATATCTTTAGAAAGTACACTGTTTGTTACAAGTGCACAAATGCATACTTCCAGTTGAGAAACATTAAGGGGAAGAAATTGAAATACGGAGCGCTAAGACCTACATATAACGGATAAAAAGTCACTGGATGAAAACATTTACACAAAATGCACCTATAATTTGAATAGAGGGAAGCTTCAGGCTTCTTCTGACGACTCTGCAAATGCTATAACTCTTTACATCGGCACAAAAACTCATTTTTTTTTCAGATCATGTAAAAAAAAATCCATATTCGCAGGTATTCTTAAAGCAAGGAAATGCACTTGTATGGCACTTTTAAATGTCCGATCAACGTATTTAGTGAAAAAATCAATCAAAAGGAAAACGGCATTAAAAATATGTTGAAGTGAATTATCATTTATCTTACTACGGAGAGAGAGAGAGCGGATTTGTTGAAATCAAAAAAAATACATTTCAACAATTATTGAATTTTTGAATATATGGAACATAAAGAAGATCATAAATTAAATTGTCTGGCATGAATAAACAGAATTTGGTTCAAAGCAATATTAATGTGATCTCGACTGTACAAAATACACTGACACTGATGATTCGTTATCCACCAGCGATGATACTGACGTTTTTAATTTTCACTTTCTTAACGATTTATTTTTTGTACACAAAGTGTAGTTTTTTTTTTTTTTATCATAATTCAACCGCCTACATGTTTTTGTTGTAGCACTCGAATTTTAAATTTATATATATGCTATAAAATAAATTCTTTTTATACATGTAAATTTAATAAAATTAAAAAGATTAATTATCTTTTTGAAAATAAGGTTTCTTTAACGTATTAAAAGTAGTGTATTCAGTGTTATACGCTCTGTCTACGGATTCCATTGTGATAAGAGAACAAAACCTGCCATATAATTTACTTAAATTTTGTCGGTCTCTAGAACGAAATAAGAGGGGTTTTACGTGTCAGTTATTCATAAAACTTAGTACATCTCGAAAACACACTAATTCTCCTTTAAAACCCATTCATTCCTACTACTTAATCAGTAATATTAAATAACACAACACATTAAACTGTTAAATGGACTAGCAACGACACGCAGCAGCTTAAATTTATTAATGATACACATATTATTAAGATACAAAATGTAAAATTAAAACAAGTTGGATTCATTCAAAGAATGTGTGGACTTAACGCCCTATTTTGGTTTCTTTTTGCGACTACTCTAACAAGTTGAAAATAAAGTGAATCCAAAGTATATTACAACCAATAGGAAGAGCAACGTATTCATGGTTATTTTAGCTGGAACCAATGTACAAAAGCAATGCCTTGTTGCCATGAATCAAAACTGAAGCAACGATACATTGGTGTCGTCTTCCGGAATTTGACATGTACCCGGAGTGGTTTTTAGGTCACGCTGTCAATATTAATAGAAGGCGGGGCTATCGATCGGTGTCATTGTTGACATCTCTCTCTCTTTCCATTTCTCTCTAGAAATTAGAATACGTGTTTGGCCTATTACAGTGACGTCATTATGATTTTTTTTTTAAAAATGTGAGGACACGCAAAATTAAAACAACATTTAATGTGCTAAATTCTGAAAACGGCACCAAACATAGTGATTTACATCTAGGTCATGTTGAAGAATACAATGTAACTGTTTCCACGAGTACACTCGCAGGTGGACATCACGTGATGAATTGTAATATTTAACAGGTCAATCGAAGTCGTAACAATGGAAGCGAGAAGTTTGTTTTGAACATGTTTTTTGTTTATTAAGTGTGAGCGCACGTTTGTCGGCTCTTCTCCTTTTAATATGACATTATTTTGTTCAATATACAACTACAGTTTTCGTAAGAACAGCCGACAAACATGCGCTGACTATGTATTCAGACGATGAAAAATGCGTGACCCTGATTATCTATTGATATTCAAAAAATCTTCAGGCACCATGCCTTCGATATTTATTTAGATAACCTCGAAAAGAGCATTTTGAATTCACATCCGTACCATAAATACACAGTTAAGATATCGGGGGTTTATATGATGAAAAAAATTAACATTTTATGGAACTTAAATTTACGGCATTTTTTCTGGCCAGTTAAGTCCACCTATTCTTTAAACGTCTTTACAGCTCTACGTGTCGTCCTAATCTGGCTTTAACTCAATACTCTATTGAACGCGGTTCTGTTGAACCGCATGACTGAACATACCTAAGCAGGTATTCGAATTGAAAACTTTAATTATCCGGAATAATCCATTCATTATTATCACCAAGTAGAAATTGATTTCTGTCTAATTCGTTCCTCAAACGAAAGAAATCACATTGTATTCACACTAGTCACACGCTTGATAGACGCTCCCCTTCTCATTCAAAAATACAATGACGTACATAGCTGTAATGGCTAAGCCGGGTTTTTACAGTGAAGTCTACCATTTTATTTAATCAATATTGTGTATATATTGAAAGTCT